AATTCTCGCTATGGAGGTCGGGAAGCTCCAGCAAGCAGTCGAGGAGACTATGGATGTGGTAGAGGCAAGAGAGGTAGAAAGAGAGATGGATGGACAACAGATGGTTGCTGAGTTGGAGGCCGCGCACAGACGTGAGGAGGTACTTGCGAATGAGGTTCGAAGGCTGTCAAAAGAATTGGACGAGACAGAACTGGAGCGTGTGAAGGCAATGCAAGGATTGCAAAGGAGGGCCAGCGAGATTGAGAGTCTCGAGGCGCATGCACAAAGTCTAGAAATTGCTCTAGAGGAGAAGAGCAAGCAGGTACCGGGGTCGAAAGGTGGGAGGCATGGTGTGGTGGAAAGGGATAAAGAGAAGGGATGGGGTCAAGAACTCAACGAGAGAGAGGGGGTCGATGAAGAAAGAGGAAGAAGCTCTGCGGAGGAGAACGTGGAGGAGGAGGAGATGAGACTCCACAAGCTAATACGAGATTTAGACAACACTCATCGGGCTGCTGAGGAGAGGGAGAGGGAAATACTCCTGGCGTGGCAGACTGGGAGACGAAGGGATGGGAGAGTTGGCAAAGGAGAAGGAGACGAGTACACGTTGAAGGATGTAGGAACAAGAAACTTGAGAAACGAGATTCACAGACTGAAGAAAGGAATAGAGGAGTGGGAAAGGTCAGCTGGCAACTGGTCGGAGAATTGGTGTGAGAACGAGGAACCGCGGGAGCATGGAATGACACAGCCTGATGTAGATAGACTTCAAAACCAAACGAAGGAGTTGGGGGATGCTGACAGTTTGACTGGGAGCTGGCCGATCAAAGGGGGGGAACAGCAAGAGCAGGGAACGGCTGGGGCCGAGGCAGAAAGCCTACAACAACGAAGAAAGGAGTTGGAAGCTGAAATGTCGTCTGGTCGCTCGTCAGTGAAGGATGGACCGCAGAAACAGTTAATAAAGGAGTCGGACGGTAAAAGGTCAAACGGGAAATGGTCAACGAAAGAGGAACGACGGGAACAGGGAACGGCTGCAGCTGAAGCAGAGAGGCTTCGACGACAGACAAAGGAGTTCGAACTTGAAGGGTCAGCTGGGAGTTTGCCAGTGAAAGAGGAGCGGAAAGAACAGGGAATGGCTGTGGCTGAAGTACAGCGGCTCCAAGAACGAATAAAGGAGTTGGAAGGTGAAATGTCCACTGGTCGCTCGTCAGTGAAGGAGGAACAGCAGGAGCAGGGAATGGCTTTTGCTGACGTAGAGAGGTTTCAACAACGAATACAGGAGTCGGAAGATGAAAGGTCGACTGGGAGTTCTTCAATGAAAGAGGAACGACAAGAACAGGGAACGAATGCGGGTGAAGGAGAGAAGGTTCAACAACGAAAAAAGGAGTCGAAAGGGGAAGTGCCGACCGGGGGGCGGTCACGGAAGGAGAAACGGCAGGACAAGGGAATGACTGCAGCTGAAGTAGAGAGACTTCAAGAACAAGTAACGCAGACACAAGGTGCACTCAGAGGCGCAGAGGACAAACCAGCAGGAAAACAACAAACCTCAGGGAAGGAAGGCGACGAAAAGGGAAAGCTGCGACACGAGGTCCAAAGGCTGAAGAAGGTTGTAAAGGGCATGATGAATGGTGAGAAGAAGCTAGTGGAAGATTGGGTGAGAGAAAAGGAAGAGCTGGAGAAGATGTACAAGGCACAGCGGATGAAACTGGAAGAGAAACTGAGCAAGGTAGAGGTAGAGAAAAAGGAGATCGAGGCTGAAAGAAAAAGAGCCAACAGGGAGAGAGAGCAATTACTTGGGAAAACACGCAGCATGGAGAAGCAGCTCAATTTAGCTGCCCAGACATATCAAGCGGTGAGTGTCCTGTGTGTGTTTGGTGGGTGTGTGTGCGTGTGTGTGTGTGTGCGTGATGATGTGTGTGAAGCACATATTTGGGTAGCCCCAGCAGGGCCAGCATGGTAAGAACCACGCACCATACCATCACAGCCCCTCAGGAGGAGAATACTCGTCTGATTAGAGTCAAGTTTAAAGACAGGGAAAATATGATGAGCAGCAGAAAAGAAACACACAGGCAAGCAGCAAGGCAACGCATAGGTTGGAGGGCGGGGGGGAAGGGAGCGGCGCACACAACACACAAGCAGAAAAAGCAGGGTCAAGATGACGACCGGCAAGCAGAAGAAGTAAGTCCCAAAAAAGGAAAGAGCAAAAAAAGTAGAAACGGATGATGAAAGATTGTTCCACAGGAGTTGCACCGACTCATCTGTGGAATCCCTGTGTTGATGGTTTGGGTCATGAACCTTTTGACCCTTGTTGAAGGCAGACTGTCCGCAAGTGGAAGACAGCAGCAGGCAAAAAATCAGGAAAGCACCAATGATGCCGAAGCAACCCAACTGCACAACGCCAAAAACAACTGCATGGACGACATGGCAAGCAGACGAGCAGCATGGCAACATCGCAGTGAAACAGATGGCGATACCAACAGAGTAGCCACACTGCACAGCACACAAGCAAAGAGTGCATAAGGCAAGGCATGCCGAGGGGCAGCAAGGCAGCATTGCAACGAAGTACAAGGCAACACCAGCAGCGCAGCCACACCACACAGTGAACACAGCAGCAGCACAGAATGACATGCAAAGCAAGCCGGATGGGGCTGACGGGCATCAAGGTAGTGGCAGGGTGCAGACAAGGCAGTCTACACATCCAACACAGAGCAAAGCAGAACATCACCTACTCACATCACGAGCGAACCCCGCAGACTGTTGGTTCCCACCACCTGCTGGGCCAGGAAGGCACTCTGACGGACGTCAATCATCACCCACCACAGACATCAAAGACAGACCCCCCCCCACCCCCCCACCCCCTAAGAGTCCTGCAGGCACTCCAAACCACCAACGACTGACTATTTAGCATTTCTTAAAGCCCCCCCTAAGATTCCTGCAGGAAGCATGACATACAAAGAAAACCGGGAGAAATGCAAACAAACAAACAGACCAAAAGAAAGACATACATAGCTGATTGTGTGTGTGTGTGTGTGTGTGTGTGTGTGTGTGTGTGTGTGTGTGTGTGTGTGTGTGTGTGTGTGTTGTCACATTCGCTATACACTCAAAAAACGCATGACTGTACCACACTGTTTCGTCGGACTTTCACCGACTCATCAGGAGGTTGAACCCCGACAGTCTGCCAAGGATGCATTTGACTGATGGATAAGGACTCACCACATCGCCCAGAGTTAGCGATACCCATTCCTGAGAGAGAAAAGTGGTCGACTTTGTGTGTGTGTGTGTGTGACAACAATTCCCGTCAATCAAGCAGCATGGAATACCTACAGTGAAAGGATTTACAGAGTCCTAAGTCCCAGGTCCCAGTCCCGAGTCCCAGGTCTCAGTCCCAAGTTCCAGGTCCCTGTCCCACATCCTAGTCCCAGGTCTCATTCCGAGTTCGATTAGTGGTTCCAGGCACTTGTACAATATTCACGAGTCCTCTAGAAGAGTAGCGCTCGTTTGCACAATGACTTTGGAAGCCTAGGTAGGCTGGTTAACTAGATCGTGGTAGGAAGTTTCTGTGTTAAGAAGTCTAGTTTTAGAAGGCGCCATGAACCTCAGCTAAGGACACAGAGGTCGTTAGGCCAGGTGTCTGTCAGTCCGACCAAGCAGCCAAATCAAAGGAGAATCCGTAAGCTTCCAGAAGCAGCAAACAAAGGAAAGGGGAGCCAACCCATAACAAGCAGAAGATGCCTGGAAGGCGGATCAGCAAGTATAATAAGTTCAGCAGCTCCTGGACTTCGGCAGAATGTGTTGGGCACTCGATGCGGAAGCGCTGCTGTGGTCTTGTGGGTTGGGGAGGCAAACAAGTGAGTAAGAGTGAGCGTAGTGCAGTGTAGGCAACGGTGCTGGGCGCCACAGCTGTAGTTGTAGTGTGAAAAAGGGGAAGACATTCTGAGAGACGAGCGAGGACTGAGGGTGAGAGCGAGAGCGAGGAGAGAGAAGAGAGACACTCACCTGCATGCTAAGCTGACCGGCCATAGCCGTTGGTGACGAAGTTTGTGTTGATTTCAGAGACTCTCTTGGACGTCGTGTGTCTCACGTGAGTGCAGTGTGATGTGGAACCCGTGTCCGAGTGTGCCATGCATGGTGGTTTCATTCCAACAGACGAAGAAAACACAGAACCACGATTGTTCGATGGCAAATCATCCATGTTTGCCATAAACTGGCGCAAGGTGGTATGGATTTGGATGCGTGAGCAAACGAAACTTCAAACATATCAAATACACACCGATGTTTTTCAAAATTTTCATCACAGGAACAATCTCATGGAGAAAACTCAGTATTCAATCACACCAGCTGTTACATACAAAAAGACGATCCTTATTGGCCCAACTTTGCTCATGTTACATCCTTAGATCACATCATAAGAACTCCTCCCCTCATCGCAACCATTACTGCGAATGAATGAATAACCCCAACCAACACTTCCCATACCCACCGCAACTCCATGTAGTCAACCATCACTCCGAACTTCCTCCCGTAATCGCTCCGAGACTCTTGATCTCATGTTCCCATAAGAAAACGCCCTCCCACTGCGCAAAGCACTTCAAGTGTGGCGTATAATGGTATACTACTATACTAGTATACTCTCTTATTGAGCACTAACTGCTTGGCCACTACAACTGTAGAATAAATGGTACCATGGTAAACGCAAAAAATGTGAGTAGTACCAGAAACAGTAATAAGAAGGACTGCGAAGAGAATGCAGAGAAGCCGCTGAACCCATCATGACCCCCAATTGGACTATACCCCTACTCCTTCCCTTTCACACGCTATTCTGCACCACGGTGATCAATCTTGTAACAGCACAGTGAATCTTCGCCATCCACTCCCCTAGAGCGCTTCCACTCCTAGACCAGGGTGCACGGACAACGTCGTAGGGGCACGCAAGCACAGATGCAACGAATCGCATGATTGACAAAAAACAATACATCATGGCAATCAAAGGGCTGAGGAAAACGATCACTGCCAAATGACCACTGCCACAACAAGACTGCCATGCCGGACGTGCACCCTGGACTACACTACCAAACTGGGCTACGGGCTGAGAAGAAGGTCAGTCAACACGCAGCAAATCCTTGTGCAGCGGTAGGACAAGCACCTTGCCGGGGGTTTGGGGAACCAGACCAGAATATCCTGGCAAGTGCCATTGTCCATCCTGAACACAAAGGGTGAGAAGCATGCAGCGACTGATCTACTACTATGCGCTGCTGATCAACCAGTGGCTCAGCAAACGTAGATCTGCAGTGCAGCTGCTCGGACGGACTTCGGCAAAATCTGCGCCCTCTGCGAAGATGGCACTCCAGAAGACCTTCCACACTGCTTACGCACCTCCCTGCCTGCAGCTCAACCATGGACCAGATCGGCAAACCTTTGGGAAGCAGCCACATCCACCCCCCTGCCAGACAACCCGGTATCCACACTCGCCGGGCCTCAAAGAACCGCGCATGCAGGAGAAGTGGCAACGCACACTCTACCGAAGACTTCGCTCTCTGACACTTCGGGTGATCTGGAAGAAGCGCTGCAAGCAGACAATCGCCGCGCAAACGACGTTGCTGGCTGAAGCATGGGAGGGGCTGATGCAGACCCTACTAACAGAGTATCACTTGGATTGGCACAGAGCAAGAAAGCACATCCAAAAAGACCCCACAGAAAAACAGGACATTGTCGACAAGTTCACAAGGATGTGCTGGGCAGCGGCAAACTGGGGACCATAATGGGCAACACCCTTAGACTTGCATGGGGAGTTCAGCAGGACCACCAGGATCACAACGGCCATATGGCGACCGCCTCTCCAATATCCACCGATACAAGAGAGCCTCTCGCCTTGGCCTGAAGACCATTCGGAACGGAGGACGAAGGGTTTAGGATCTAACAGAGCAGGGCGCACGGAGGACGGAGGGTTTAGGGTTTAAGTTGTTTAACAGAGCAGGGCACAGGACAGCAGCAAAGGTAGACAGTTCACGAGATGGGCCCCCGTTAGGGGAGGACCTCCTGACTCCAGAGTATAACGAATAGCCGACAGTTACAATGGCTGATAGGAGTTCAGGAACTCTTAGGGAAGGCGCACAAGAAAGAATGGGGAGAGACGAAGGCGTGACCTTGTCATAAGCAAAACTGGCTAATGCTGCCAAGATAACTCCGGGTCGAATTGTGAGGTCCCCGGCCTCATTTTTGACCTATTAAATAGTATTAATAAAATGTTTTGTTCTTACCTTTGAAAAACAAACAAACAAACAAAGGGCTGAGGAAAACAAGATTATGAGAGGATGCAGGATGAACGAACAGTGTGTGGCAACCACCAGATCCACTCAACTTCACATTATCAAACCACACAGGGCCTCGATGCAAATATGAGGATAGCTAAAGATGGCTACGGTAGGGATAACAGCAATCTTTCCTAAATTACACTTTTCACCGTTACGCAGCGCATCAGAGGTGGAAGAATAGTGAGCACGAGGAGGGAGAGAGGTCTCTCGCTTGCACTGTGACGGGAAGCCACCTCACACCCAGTGGTGCTTTCCAGTAGAAGTGGGAGGTAGGCCCAGGAAAGCGCGAAAGAAGGGAAAGGTGCCCAGGATTTTTGTAAAGATGGGGGTGGAGTTCGTGGTCAGAACTGGACTCTTCGTGTATCAGGTCTGGAACGAGTTGAGGAGAGAGAGAGAGAGAGAGAGAGAGAGAGAGAGAGAGAGAGAGAGAGAGAGAGAGAGAGAGAGAGAGAGAGAGAGA